ACAGATGTTAAACAACTGAGTGTCATTTACTCATATTTGCTAAACTGCGAAAAATTGGAGAACTTACATATCTCCCCAAATTTCGACTCTTCACAACCATAAATAGAATCTGTGTTTTGGCCGATTCCACCAGTAAATTTCATTCCACTCAAAATATAATAATTCTCTTCTCACGATTTATTAATAATTGTTAATTTAAATTCCCATTTATTAAAATATAGTTTATTCAACTGCCTCTGGTCGGTTTAACAAATTCTTACATAACATTCTGAAAATCACATCATCTGAAGTGATTTGGCAACGTTTGGCACACGCCCACAATTCGTTCCATCTTTCAACACAGACATTGACAACCTTCGGCCTTCTGTCAAAGGGTTTCATCTCACTCATTATTCCATGACCACTATTTGTGCAATCATCAAGTGGCTTCACGATGTAATGCTCTGTTTTTTAAATAATTTTTAATCTGTTTTTAACTTGTTCTTGTCATATTTTATATAATTTTGACCATTGTACCATCTATCCAGCTCTCACCATGTTACTGGACGTTTCCCTCATCCTATACGTAAACAACAATTAGCAACATCCTCACATACTACTGTAAGTTGAGTCAATTTAAATTCATTTTACACTTTTGTTGCTACTGTTATCATTGTAATTGCAGCTCCTGATGATGATGGCAAAGTCCATTGAAAGCTAGAGAGAATTAAAAAAAAAGTATAAAGAGTCCTCTTTGCTTAAATTTTGTCGAAGTACCCAACAAAAGGCGGAAGCTTTAATTTTTCACCTAACTGGTCTAGACGACAATGACCACGTCTCAAGTTATATACATATATATACAAAATACAATTAATTGTTAATTGGGAAATTGGCAAATTTTTAGGCTTAAGTTGACTCTTTTGACGATTAAATCAAGCTTTCGGCATTCTCTATGGAGTCTTCATTAGGATTCTGAAAACACAATTGTGATTCCAGCAACGAATACAGGACTGATTTAAATTGTCAAACAACTTACTCGTCGTTGAGGTTGCAGCCACAAGGTATTTCAAAACGAACGTAGAGAAGATAGAACTTGTTATAAATATAAAAACAAATGGACGGACACATTGGGCTTGTTGATAATGACAGATACCTTCGTTACATGTTAAAAATATCAATACACCCGAACATATTAAAAATGATTAAACATGAGAAGACATTTTAGGGAAACAATCGGAATGCAGTCTCTAACCTCCTACTTCCGCTACACGTGGAGAGGGGGACGGAACGGAAAGATAATGCGTCGACAGATGACAAGTGATTGACGCGACGGAACGTGGAACTGTAAACCTCATTGTCCAGTTAGGGTATGAAGTATACGAGAGACGCTCGGTAGACCTCCACCCAAATTACTAGAATGCTGAAATAATTTGTTTTGGAAAAATGTGTAGTTCATATGAGTGTACGAATGTGAGATAGTGATACACACTTGAAAAGATGGGTTATGTGAGTTTATATTAAAGATTGTGAGTGAGAAATTTGAATTACCAGGACAGCAATTGGAAATGTATTCTAATTTTGGGCCGACGTTGGTTCGATTTGGATATGTAGCCGTTCTAGCATTTCGCAATTCAACAGGTATGAATAAATGACACTGAGCTGCTTAACATCAGCCCTTTTATTCATGCAATGATCTGTCATGAAAATGTGGGACATTTCTAAAAATAAACGTTTTGAGAGTCTTTTTTCTTTGTCAAGAACCTCATTACTGCCATAATTCATAGTGACCTGTGTTGTTAATATGAGATGCCAAAGCACATCTCTCTGGATGTAATCTGGCGTCACTTTTGTGTGAAGTTATCCTGCCTTTCAGTGACCTCGAAGTTTGGCCTATATAAACTAAATTACAGTTGTTACAATTAATGCGATAGACAGTGTTGGTTGAATCAAGAAACTGAACCTTATCCTTCATTTTGCACAACAAACTGTTGACTGTGAGCACTGATTTACAAGCAAAACGACAATTAAAGGAATTATACAGCCTGATCAATTTTGCTGTTAGTTCTTTGATGTATGGCAAGACAACATAATTAACTCTGGAAATAGGAGCAACCACTGTAGTGCTGTTATTCTCATTGGTTGAAGAATTCATGGGCATCTGGTTGGACCGAACAGTGTTGTCATTTTCACTATTGTTATTCGTCATTGGCAAAATATTCGGAGGAGAGCTGAACAAGATTCTGTTAACCAAATACTTCGGAGACCCATTGTTGATGAATAAGACTGAAAGCTTCCTTAAATTGGAAAGATGGAAAGTACGGTCAGTGATTTTTATAACCCTGTTCTTCATTTTTTTCAGCACGTTAATTTTTATTTCAAGTTCGTGGTAAGACCTTTAGTTCAGGAACCTTCCGGAAGAAATTGGTTTCCTGTACCGGTCTACCAGTAATATATTGTCATTGCTGTGAATCAATCTTGAATCCAAAAAGGGAACCGATTGATTGTCATCTTCTTTTTCGATGGTGAACTGGATGTAGGGATCATAACTGTTAAAAACTTCAACAATATCATCCACCCCTTCATAAGGAAGACAAACGATAATATCGTCCACATACTTTTTTACGAAAATTAGATTGTATGGCAATGCTTGAATAACAACATCAAGCAGGTCATCCATTACATATTCTGCCAAAATTGGAGATAACACAGAACCCATGGGGCAACCATGTGTTTCTGAAAACACTTTGTTATTAAAAGTAAAATAATTGTTCTGGAAAAGGTACTGTATGATATTGATGAAAGAATCCATAGTTAGGTAGCTGTGTTGGCAAATTTGATCCAAATGTTTGTTGATGGATCTGATGCAAGCTTCTAAATACACATTACTCAACAGTGAAACTACATCTAGACTCGCAATAACATGAGGGGGTATTTGAAACCTGTTAAATTGTTGACAAACATCAAAAGAGTCTTTTATAAAGTATTCTCCTTTGATGTGAGCTGACTTTAGAGTATCTGGAATTAATGAAGAAAAAGCTAGTGTGGCTGATTCAACAGAAGCCACAATAGGTCTTACTGACAGTACAGGTTTGTGTATTTTGGGAAGAGCATAAAATTTAGGAGAGTCAGAATCATAAGTGATTAAGGACTTCTTTTGGTCCTGGTTGATTTGACCAGTGCTGAGTAGCCTGTTAACAATGTCATTGCAACCTTTCTCTACTTTAGATGTAGGGTCTTTATTGATAACCTTGCAAGAGGGATCATTATCATTCAAATTATTACATACGTCAAAATATTGTTGTCTTAACATAATTACGGTAACATTGCCTTTGTCTGACTTTGTAACAATTAACTCGAGATGATCCTTAATAAATTTCCTTGTTTTATTTAACAGGTTGTGGTAGAAACAGTGTTTTTTGTTGATGCTACTGTTATGAAAGTAATTTGTGATAATATTGGTGGAACGAGTTATCGCAATGTTCCTTTCTGTGTCATCACTAATGAAAGAAGATATAGAATCAACATCAGCCAGAATATGTCTGATTGCAATGTCACTGTTGACAAACGGTTCAACGCTAAATGTTGGACCCAACGACAGAAAACTTGCGATATCATCTGGAATACTGACATTACTAAGGTTCTTTACCCAGTTTGGCTGAGTGTTGAGCAAAATTTTCATTGTATCACTTAGTAACCTGTCAAACTTGCGTATATTCGAATTTTTGATAGAATGGAACAATGTATTATAATGTCTTAATTGTCTCGATTGACAATTATTGAAAATTAAGAGGGACGTGAGAGAGATGATTTCAGTTTTCAAAAGTTTAAGGGATGAGTGAAGTTTTTTTAATTGTTTATGACAAGAAGAAATTTCAAGCGAAAGTATTTTCTCACCCAACCTTTGTAAAGGAGATTGTAGCCCATCTGCTGCAAGGTGATTGTGTATGATGTTGTTTATGGATGTTATGCGATGGTTGATGTGTGGTGGTAGGATGTTGTTCTTCCTGCACTTGATCAAAAATATCCGTCTCTTTACTTCATGCGCCAAGCGTTTTCTGTACGTTCGTTTTGAAACACTTTGTGGCTGCAACCTCAACGACTAGTAAGTTGTTTGCTAGCATCACAATTGGTTTTTCAGAATCCTGATGAAGGCTCCATAGAGAATGCCGAAAGCTTGATTTTATCATCAAAAGAGTCAACTTAAGCCTAAAAATTTGCCAATTTCCCAATTAACAATTAATTGTATTTTGTGCCCACCTGGTCGTTGGCAATGGCAATGACTACTGCTTATATATATATATATAGGCTGCTTTTAGAAAAGTTGAGTTAAACTTCAACGTAGATTTTAACTAATCCTGGTAATTTCTGTAACACATATTTGCTTAGCTAGAGAAGAACCCTGTACATTAATAACTCATTTCTCTTAATATAATTTCGTGGGGCTTGAGAGAAGGAGGAGGATAGCTCCTTCGAAGACGTTCATAAACTACAATATGCACAGCGAGAGCGAAAATAGTGAGAAAAGTGAATATTTTCAATGAAAAGTAAGTAAAAGTGAGATGGATCGAAAAAAGTGAGAAAAAGAGTCGCCAGCATCTCTGCCCCACCTCCTACAACCCTAAACCCTAATTTTAACCCTTTTTTTCTGAAAAGGTTCAGAAACCTCTGAAAACTCAAAAACGAAGATACAACGATATTTTTTCGTTTTTTGCCACAAGCTTCAAATACTCCAAGCATAGTAGTAACCTTGCGTGGAAATTTTATTTTCCAAGTCATAAACGGGGCAAGGATTAGCGCACAAGCTGACGGACAGATATACCGACGGAAACGAGATACTTGGTTTTTCGTGATGTAACATGTCACCTCCAAATAATATAATTTTAGATTTTTTATTTCGCGATTACAATACTTTCCCGCCAGCGGCGTGGGAAGTTCAGAAAAAGATATATAAAAATAAACCTTGGTGTGGTGTCCAAATCTGAAGCAGTAGGTATGGCAAAAGAGGCGTAGCTCTCAGGCACCCATCGACGAGCATTGATTAGTCGCGCTTTCGATGATCCATGTGATGAATAGAATGGACTCGGGCTGCTCCACTCGCCTTCGTCATGCTCGTCGTCGATCTACAAAGAACAAAATGTCATTAATTTGTCTGTAACAGTTGTTGTACTTGAGTTTTTGGTCTCTAAAGGGACATCTAAACGAACAATATTTTTGTTTTAATATTTGGCTATAATAGAATAGAATATATTTATTATCTATCAGACAAAAATTATTTATATGGGATTCGTCACAAGAAGAAAGCTGTGTATAAATAGAACGCATTACACAAGCAAGCAAATAAACATTGTAACGATGCATAATATTCCGCCGCCCACGCCAGTGGCTGTCCTGGTCAATTGGATTGCCTCCGCTGTCCATAGGCGTACTTCCGAACTGTCCGATCTACCGACAGGGTGAGTGACGCCTTTAAGACAACCATGCAAGTCCCTCGGCTTTCCGGCAGGCTGATTACGAAAAAATTTCCAATTCCGACCAGTGAGCAACCGACCACCATTCGAGTTGCGACCGGTTGACGAGCGACCGAAAAATTCGTATTCTATAACGCAACTGGAGACCGGTTGCCCAACTGTCATTGAATGCAATTTTTGCGACCCAAACAGCGCCTCTAGCGAGTAGCAACCGGTGGAATTAAAGTGACATACAATGGTAAACAATCGTCGTGTTTATAAATCGAAAAATGATAAATACATTGAGGATCGTGATAGTGAATTTAAAATTAACTATGGGACCTAGTTGTGTTGAAAACTGAAAACGTAAGAATATAATACGGTGGTCTGTTCTTAAAAAAGAATTTCTTTGTGTGAGCCGCAGATGTGATGCTTACATAAAGTCAAGAGTGGACCCTTGATACAGTAAGATAGAAATACACACTAAATATATATACAGTCATTTGCCGTGCCAGATGTTTCTCTAAATCAATCAGCACTTACATACATAGTTCTGGGTGGCTGCTTGTCCACTAAAGGCTGCAAATGTATCAGAAAACGTGGAAATACTGCTTATTTGTCTTTGAGATTTTGTTTGACTAGGAGGTGTTTGTATTAAATTTTCAAAATGGAACACAGACTCAACATTGCAAATCGATGATTCGATCTTTTTAGAAATTAATCCTAATTTAGCCAAGAATAGTGTTGGGCTTGGAGGACGATCAAAGGAGACTATTGATAGAAAGTGGGACGAATTAGTGATATGTCTGAATACTCATGGAACGCTGGAAATGGTTTATCTTAGATTTTGTTATTCATCCTTTTGTCATCTTTAATTCGTAATTTTTATAATTATTGTGCTGCATCTTATTTTTCATCATAACATTACAACTTGCCTTTTTCTATGTTCATTATTCTGTGGTATCCCTCTTTTCATTAATTCAAAAACGTAGAACTTTTTATAGAAGAAAAAAGCACAATTGTTCCCAAAACTTAAAAAAAACATGTATGTCTATTCATTAAAGAAGCAAAAACTGGTAGATTGTTTAATCCAATGTATTTGTATCTTTCCACATAGTTGCTACTTTTTTTCAATATTTGCAAACATAGTTTACACAGATTCCATGGGTAATTTTCTTGGATTAGTACTTTAGGTTATAAAAAGGAGTTTTGTTCCATGTTCCATATGGTTTTACCAATATACTAATACGATATATATTTTTAACAGTAGTGGATAGACCTTAAACATAGGATACAATCTAGAGGTGCACAATATACAGAGTACTGGTGGAGGGCCCGCTAATGTTGATAGCTTATCTGAAGTATATAAAAGGTTTATGGCCAGGAGTATTTGGAGATACTGAACATCAAGTTCCATTTACTTACTTAAACCACATTTAAATTGAAAAAAGATTTTACTGGCATTCCACATCATCTTCTAACATTTTATAACAAGATAATAATAAGTACAAAGTTCTACTTCAAATAAAAAAAATACAAATTTTTATTTAATTTTTTCATTAGTTATGTAAAAGAAATTGCATTTGAATTCAGTTTCGATAATAATAAGTACAAAGTTCTACTACAAATAAAAAAAAATACAAATTTTTATTTAAATTTTTCATTAGTTATGTAAAAGAAATTGCATTTGAATTCAGTTTCTACTCGGTATTGCTTCATAATTTCAGCACTCTAGCTATGCAGTGTGTAGCTAGTCGTCTGCAGACAGATACGTCATTAATGCAACTTAAAAAATTTCATAAGAAATTTGGTAATTTTTTGTAATTCCACCTCCAACCCATAAATCATTTATAACTCTAAATACCACAAAAAGATTGTTTTTTAACAAATTTTCAAGACAAACAAGATTTTTTTATTCTATTTAGAATAATAATTGCTTTACAAATTGACGAAAAGAAAATACGAGTGTCATTAAAAAAATCCAGGTTTTTTTTAATTATATTTGTAGAAATGCTTGATTATTGGTTCCCATTAGAAATATATTTTGCGATTTGAACTAATCCTCAGAAGCGGCGAAGTTCTAGGCTGTTTGAGTGATTGTGGAACACCCAGAGTTTTTTTTGGAAATTTTTACGATTGTATTTAGAACCATTAATGCTTAAATTGAGAAAAAAATTCGGGGTCCTATTACAAAAAAAGGTCAGCGGTTTTATAATTATATTTTAAGAAAGCAGTGCTCTGTTACAAATGCATTTTGCAAGTTTTAGGCTTGTTCCAAATCCTCTAAAATAGATATTGTTGAATAAGGACATGTGAAAATAAACCTTTCTAGAAAACCAATTCTATAAACATTAACATTTTCTTTACAGTGGTTGATAAAACCTTTTTAGAGCTGAGCTATCATTAAGCATAAGCAAATGACAATGGACATTATTTCATGGAAATTTAAAATATTTGATAGAGTAGATAATAAAATTTTGATACTCCTATGCATCACCCTATGGTATTTCTGGTAAGGCAGTGCATTTAGTATCATGTTCTTCTGCATTGCAGGTTTTTAATGAATGTCCAGAGTCACCTGTAAAAATACATCTTTCATTATCATTTCAACTAAAGTAAAAAAAAAATAAAGTAAATGTTAGTGGTGAAGTCTGTATGTTGCTTAAAATATGTGGAATATTAAGACTCGGATTTGTTGATGTATTGTTAATCTTAGAGATAATGAATCTGAGGTATTGATCTAATGATTGATGAATATTGACTTATTACTCTTGTTAATAGGAAATTAAAACTTCCATAGCGATGAAATGTTTATCAGGTAATATATCATGTGTTAAACAATTTTTGATGCAGCTGAACTCATTAGTAAACCACCATACAGCTTTGATATGTAATTTCACTTTCTTAATATTTATGGCAATATCATTACTATACTTTCTTATTGTCTTTGAGGGAAGTGAATATGCTTCGATAGAATGTCTGGATGATTTAATGCATACACGACTTCCCTTAGTGCTTTGGATACACTGGGTTGACTAAGTCCATGTAAGTAACCCACGCCAATGTGTTTCTGGTAGGAACCACTCGCCAGCACCAAAAGTGCCGCTAATATCTAAAATCAATGTGTTTCTATACTGTGGTAGGAAGGTGCAAGTAAGCTTATTTGACAGTCGTTAAGAACTTCAAGTCATACATACTGAAAAATATGCCGGAGGCGAGAAGTTTGTCGTCTTTGAACTTTCCAATGCTTCCATAAGCAAAAATACGCAAGTCATCCCAGATAATCAAAATTGCTGAAAATACAAATTGGGAGTATAAAATCACTTCTTAGGGCCGTATCGTCAGTCGTTCCTACAATTGTAGGATGCCTTTATGACCTACTTGATTTCCATAATATCATGTCTTCTTCAGTAAGGTACTTGTGTGTACTGCTTTATATTTCTGGCATGCTGAGCTGACAGTTCTGACTATAGGTTATGTTGTTAATTTGACGTTTAAGAAATTTTAGACACATGAATCGAAGGCAGAAGCATAATTTATTATTTTCTTGCAAATACTGTCGATCAGTCAATAATAATTCCCTACATTGAACAAATTCCACAAGCTGTGGTATCTTCAAATCCTATATCTGGTATTAATGGTCTGAAAATAAACAATTTGATGCAAATGGATGTGTATTTACATATAAAAGCCCAACAGCTTACAACCAAGCTGTTCCCTTGATAAAGGTAGGTAAGCTACAAAACAAATCATTGCATATTCATATTATATACTTATCGCATTATTTTCAGGTGTGATTCATTCTCACAGACTTTATGGATAAAAAACATTGTATGACAAGTGCAATTATTGCATTGTCGATGTCAGAGATGCTTTTTTCACAAATCATTGTGGGACTGGATTGTGTAGAGTGTCAGGCTACAAGTTTGTATAATGTGTGAATGTGAAGATCATAATTACTATTATTGACCATCGCTATTTCAGGGTGCTTAAAATTTCATGGTCATGTAGGATTACCAAAAATAAAGTATTACAGAGAGTAAACATAAAAATAGAATTGCAGAATGAAGTAAAAGAAAAACTTTATGAGTTTAAATTCCATAATTAATTACAAATGGGAAAATAAAAGAAAATTGTGACTGATTGAGGGAATTACTTTCCTGTTAAACAAATTCCAAACAACTCAAACAACTAGATACGCGCAAAAGACCCATTATTCGAAAATGGTATGTATCTCAAACTCCTAATAAGTAGTTTTAAAATAATTGCATTGTATTCATAATTCACTTATCATTACAGGTATTAGATAGATGCTGCAAGTATCAAATTAAAATTCACAACTTTATCATGAACTTAACATGTAAGATTCATTTTAGACAAAAATAAACTTAACCTAACCTGGCTCTGAGGTACAGAATTTGATTTGTATTCGAACTGCTGAGTATAAATTTTGGATCTAAATTGCTATCAATAATGGAGACTCCAGCTACTGAGCATACTGAAAAAATACATCAGTGGCATCATCAATAACAAGGAGATCGATGCACTGAGCCTCAAAGAACAATATGTTGTGTTTATCAAATGTGTTGCACCATATATTAATGTTGTAGTGTGTGGGATACGAAAAAAAGTGAGGAAACTTAAATACACTTTCTTTACCAATTCTTACGTTA